GGGGGGGGGGGTGTCTTGGTGATCTAAACAAAACAGTGATTAGCAGCTTTGTAAAATCTTGAATGGAAAAGTGAAGTTATAAAACTAATTTGTAGAGGGGGCTACAGGCTGTAGACAGCCCAGGTTTGACTAGAAGCAGCATTGATGGAAGAGGGAATAAAGTCATCCCCAAACCAGAGTCTTGGGGGTTATATTGGAAATATACAGCTTTGGGAATTGCACACTTATTTCAACTCTTAGGGACTGCATTGCCTTTAATTTTTCTCTTTATGACTGTATCTAAATGCTTCAGAAAAGTATGCCATGTATCTTAATTACTGACAGGATGTCTACCTAGACAGTTTTCCTTTTCGTAAATCACCAGTGAAAACTGCCTTTGGCCATGTTGTTCCTATAGAAAAGCTATTCTAAGCTGTGTGAGCAGTTTTAGGAATAAAATCTCATATACTCAGATTAAAAATCATAACAGGGATGGAGTGTGTTTAGGTTTTTATTTAAGTTTTTGGAGATTTTTTTGCATTTGTAAACTGAAAGAAATGGTATTATACTGAAATTAGTGTAAAATGGAAGTGGGCACTAATTTTGAAAAGAATATTCTGAAATAAGCCAAGAATTAAAGAGTAGAAATTGAAGAAATAAAATTCCACATTGGAACTTAAAAAAACAACAACAAAAAATTCATGTCTCTTAAATGGCTTGACTTTATGTTACCTCATGGGGGGCAAAAACCCACTAAAACTCGGCATTGTTTCTAAGGTGTCAGTTTTAATTGATTGAAAAACAGTTTTCTTTTTAAATTTTGTAAGATTCAAAACACCCTGAAATATTGGGTAACATGAGACTTTTTTATTATTAATCATCATAATAATGTCAAACCATTTAAAAACCTGGTGTCTGAGACTGGCAGCTTTTTTAAAGCGCATCTCAAAGACCGATTTTTTAAAACGGTATTCTAAGTTAGGCAATTAAAAAATATATAAGCTAAGTAAAATAATTAAAAATTGATGCTTAAATTATACAATTTGGAAAAATAAATATGTAAGAAACATATAAGCTAAGTAAAATAATTAAAAATTGATACCTGAAGTACACAATTTGGAAAAAGATATGTCAGAAAATGTACAGATATTTTTAGGTAACTCAGACAATTTTTTAAAAATAGATTTCTAAGTCAAACAAAATACATGTCTAAGAACATCAAAAAATATTTCTGTATGTTATAGCATTTAAAATGTTATATTCATTAGCCTTACTTTAAAACCTCAGATCAGTATAAGCAATCAGATCTTTTAAAATAGTTCTGTAGTCAATTTGTTATAGTATAGTATGAAGCTAGGAAAATTCAGACAATCTAAAAAATAGGTTTTGCAATTAAACAAAAATGGTTTGCCTAAGTTAGAATTAAAAAGAAAACACATATTTTAATTGTATGCATCAAAAAAAACATGGCATAAATTTCTGAAGTGTTAGGGGTGAAGTATCATATCTTCAGTCTGCTTACAATTGATTCTGTAGAAGCTATTTTCTACACACACACACAAAATCGAAGATAGCCAAATTTTAACATGACTAAGTAGAGGGTACAGTTTTTCAGCTTTCCTAGAAGTTGGAAAAGTGTTATAAACATGTTGGGGAAAAAACCCTTTTCTAACACAATTTTTAAAAATGATTGAATACCTCATGCAACGTTTTTCACTGCATGTCTAGCTCATAAAAATTTTTAGATCTCATTTCTGACTTGTAAGTTTCAAAACTATGTAGCAACTCAAACTATAGCTGTCAAACTTGAATATAGGCTGGGTTTTAAGTGAAAAGAAATTATTAAACTGACCAATTAATTTTTAATTTTGTTACAGAGGCCTAATGAAATTTTTAGTGGTGAAATGTCAAAATATCACTTATTTCATGTTCTTAACCTCCCTCCCATAAAGGAAACAAATAAGGCAGAGTGGTTATAATTGTCGAGTGTCATAATGAACATGTTTCTAAGGTATCAGTTTTAATTGATTGAAAAACATTGTTTGCTTTTTAAATTTTTATAAGGTTCAAAACACCCTGAAACGTTGGGTAACATAAGGCATTTTTATTATTAATCATAGTAATAATCAGGTCAGACAGTTTATATCATTTTACATACTTTTCTGTATGCTTGAAAATTATAAATAAAAACTTAAAATATACACGTCATGTTAAAAACATGAGCAAAACAATTAAAAGAAGACAATGTGGAAATATCTAAAATAATTAAAAGGGAAGTAACTAAACTCTAGAGTTAAACTTAATTTGAAAAAATCATAACCTGAAATTTCTAGTTCCTAGTTAAAGAACAAGCTGTAGGAGTTTATTTTGGGGTGTGTGTGTGTGTATCTCACACAACTGAAAATAAATGACATCCAGAGCAATAGTTTTTTTGTTTTTTAGTTTTAAACCTGAATTTCCACATCCTTATTTAAGGAAAAAGCTGTGGAAGTTGATTATAAAGTGGTGTGTATTTCACACACGTCAAAACAAAGCACATCTAAAGCCCTATCATTCAAACATGATTTTTTTTTTTAATTTTTATTTTTTGCATCCCAGTTTGGGGAGAAAAACTACAGGCTGGTTGGTGGTGATGGTGGGATTATTGTGGGTGCCTGTACGTGCACACTAAAACAGGTTGGGACAGCTTTCAGGCAGATGTGTCACAGGAGTTTAAGGAGATGTGCAGTGACAAAACCAAACAAAAAGGCCTAAGGGCCAGAAGGGGCCTCGAGGTAATTTGACCCAACACCCCAGGCTGTGATAAACCCCAGGGCCTTTCTTGACCAAATTGTGTGGTGGCGATAAGAAATTTTAGCAATTCCAGCAGCCGCTTGTACTTGCAAAAAAAAAAAAAAATCTTTGCCTCAATTAACCCCAACTTTGCCTGTGTCTTGCATCCTGGGGCTCTAGCCCAGGTTCTGGTTCTTCGGGTCTCTTCACTCTTCTGCATGACAGCCCTGCAGGCTTCTTGTTCCCTGGAGCTTTCTCCAGTTCAGCCGTCTCTGGCTCAGACAATGAGGTTAAGTTTCTTGCCAATGAATGAGGTCTAGTTTTTTTGTGTCCTTTTTAAAGTTCAACACCCAGAACTGAACAAAATTCCACTTAATTGTATTCTTGGTTGTATTGATATTAGTGAAACTAACTGTTAAAAGCAAACTGGGGTTTGATTTTTAGACTTTTCAGCAAAATGCAGTTGTTGGCATTTCTCATTCAGTCTGTTTTGGCTTCAGTTTTGGGTCCCCCGTCATAGTTATGCCTCGGGGCAGCATGAAATAAAGGAAGGAGCATTGGACTCTAAGTCCGGGAATTTAGGGCTAAGTCCCACGGCCCTGACTCAGAATGGGTCTTTAGGCAAGCTTTTTAATCTCTTTGGCTATCTTTTGCCTTATTTGTAAACTGAACATTGAGTTAGGTGTTTTCTAGTGGCCCTTCGGATTCAACAATGCTTTCTCTAGTTCTGTTTTAATGTATTTCTCCTGACCAAGACACACAGTCTTA